TCTGAGCTGACGAGCTGACCGAGTTTCCTCTGAGCTGACGAGCTGACCGAGCTCTCTGAGCTGACGAGCCGACCGGAGCTCTCTCTGAGCTGACGAGCTGACCGAGCTCTCTCTGAATCTGCCAGATCGGGTGCAATTTTTCAGATCATAAATCGCTTCCTCGCATTAGCAGAATTTCTTAAAAATCTAATTCTTTATCACTTCAAATAAAAACTGAGTAAGCGATTGTTTGTTTTCTTTATAATGCAAACAGTCCACGGGTGAAGGAGTGCGGATCGGGGAGGTCGGGGATCGGAAAATTTGCATATCTTTTATATAAAGAAAAAATTTTGCATATATAAAGATCTAGACATCTAGATAATTTGGATAATTCTCATTCTCAAACCTTTTCGTGAACTCATCTTCGCAAGCCATTCGAATGCTTCGGGAGTGGCTGGTGAGTCGAAACGGAAGTAGCCCTTTGGACCCTGGAAAACGATTCGTTTTTGAATATTATCTTGATTTAAAGGCTTATAACTTTCTTTAGAAATAATATTATAAGGCTATCGTGTTTTTTCGCATTTTTCTCTTAGTTTTATCGAAAAATACGAGAAATTTGGTAGATTCAATAAAATGAATAGCTAGAATTGATTCGTTGACTCTAAAATGGAGGTTTTCAACAGTCTAACAGTTTCAATGAAAAGCTGATCCTAACAATTTATCGTAGACCTTTCTAAAATCGCTAATTGCCCTTTAGTCAGGTAAATTTTTACATTTACATTTACATCAAATTCTCAGAAGTCAGAAGACTATGCTATGCCCAAATTCCTCTGTGATCTATTTTTTGGCCTTAAATTTACGCCAGCCTTTCGACAAAACTTGAGAACGATGGGATTTGATATTTTAGATAATTATTGTAGATTCCATTAAATTATTGTAGATTATAATGCGCCCAGATTTCCTCCATACTTGTTGAATTCGATACGCCCGAATCGCTTCTCGAATCGCGAAGAAAACAAGGTACAGCCAAGGAAAAGTGGAGGCTCATCCAACGGCCTGGGAATTATTTTTGAATATATTTTCGTTTTTAAGAATATTTAAACAGATAATAATAAGATTAGCTACATCTACAAAACTATCTAGTCATTACAGTACAGCACAGTATTAACACAGTACAGTCCAGGTACAGTGCAGTTACAGTGCAGTCCAGTACAGTCCAGCAGGCTGTCCAGTACAGTCCATGAGAGCCCAGTACAGTCCAGTAGAGTCCAGTCCAGTACAGTCCAGTACGGTCCAGTACAGTACAGTCCAGTACAGTACAGTACAGTACAGTACAGCACAGCACAGCGCAGTACAGTGACTGTTCAGTGGGAGTGTCAGTACTAGTAAACTGAGCACATTCCAGTACAGTCCAGTTCAGTACAGTACAGTACAGCGTGGGTATAAGTACAAATTACTCTACTTACTACTCGCAAGTAGCACCGTGTGGATTCGAGGATCCTTTGAGGAGGGAAACGTGGTAATCCCTTGGCACATCGTACGGCTGACGGAATTTTGTACACACCAGGGCCTAGATTTCCGGGATTACTGTATAATTAATGTCTTGAATTAGAGTTATATGCAAATTCGATAAGATTTAGAGTTGTTACCCCCTTGATAAACGGATCCCATTCGCGCACTCCGGATCTCCTCCATTGTGAACAGACCGTAGCCCTGGAAAAGCTCATATAAAATGAGAAGAGCTATCAAATTGTGCACGGAAATTTGCAAACGCACTGTTTCTGGTGCAATGGCTTTTACGATTTCTCTGTTTACCTGTACAAAAGCGCCTTCCAATTTGACTGATTACGTCAATGGCAGGATTGAGCGAATCACCAATATCCCATCACAATGTGTGCGAGAGCCAACTAAATTCTTTATTTGTTGTATTCGATTTGAATTGAAATACTCCCATCCTACGACCCCCATGCACGATATTCTATCCTAACATACCCCATCCAACATACCCCATCCTATGGATACCCCATCCTATGGATACCCCATCCTGGTTTTATCTGGATACCCCATCCTGTGGATACCCCCAAATCCTGTGGAGGCTCCCATCCTGTGGATACCCCCATCCCATGGATACTCCCCCATCCTGGTAGAATGGGGTATCCTATAGATACCTTTCCATCCTACGATACCCCCATCCCTGCGGGTATCCATCCTTCGGATTTCAATTTGCATTAAAAAGGATAGCGCATCCCACACTGTTTCCAAGCGTTTCAATTTTCAACGAAGCGTTTCAAGCGCATCCCCACACCCCAAAATAAGAATAACGTTCGATTTCAACTGAGTTTTTCATTAGAATCTTTTGATTTCCCTTTTCAACCAAACACTTGTCATTTACGATCAACTGGAGAAAGAAAAGTAAAATCGTATCATTTCAAGCGCATCCCACACCCCAAAATAAGCATAATTAATTAGCATAAGCAAAAATTAGGCTCATTAAAGGGTTTATAAGGGTTTATGAATGTTATTCCGGTCTTTTTTCTTATGCAGAACTATTTAGATTTATAGATTCATAAAAACTAAGAAATAATCAAGATAACGATGAAATACCGTCTCTCTAATAGTAGAGCCGAGTTGATGACTATTTTACGGTTTCCAAGCTTTCGCAGAAGCTCAACACTCTAATCATCGTCAAGATCTCATCATCAGCTACATTTTCCGATCCCACATCGATAGGTTCTGATAAGCGGTTCTCGAGATTTCGAGGAATTTAGGCGAGGCTTAAGGGCTCAGGGCAACTAACCTAACTAACTAACTAATTAAACCAACTAACAACTAACTAACTATTAGAGAGAATATCGGTAAACGTTATTCTAGCGCTTGAGATTCTTTTAATTCAAATCAAACGAAAATCCAATTACCTAGCACAAAGATTTTCTTTATTTTAAAGAATTTTTTACTCACTCGATGATCACCCGTCAAGCAATCAATCTCGACTTCACAGCAAGCCGTTCCATAAACACAGTAGCCGAAAAGTTCCGCACCTTTTCCATTAAAGAAGTCAACTGGCTCGTTGTGAATGCTAAAACGGTGCTTTCAGTAAACCTTAAATAGCATAAAGCTTTTGTTATTTCTCCCCACCACCCTCAACTAGATCTTTTACAAGTACTTTGAAGCTTTCTTTTGAAGCCATCCCTGGGCATAATACCTAAAGATTTGCTCAAGCTCATGGCCTATATTAAACTCACATTCCAAAGCCGGAAGCCGACAACGAGACTCGATCAATGTGTGCAGCTTGGATCCAATCTTTCCATGCCTTTTCTTTCATTTTATCTTTATATGGCTGTAAACGTTGATTGAGTTGTTGACATGCGTCCTCGACAGCCACTCCGCACAAATCCGAGCCAACACTGGCAGCTGTTGGCATAGAGTTGGGCACCTAGAATAGTTGAATAAAAATTTCAAATCTAGATGAGAAATTTTGAAAGTAAATTGTAGACTTTTCAAACGTTTCACCTTATCTGTTGCAGTCTCTTCGACGTGAATCAACTCGATCGGGATATCCAAACATCTGGCGGCAATCTCAAGTATTGGTATTGGTATTGGTATTGGTATTGGTATTGGTATTGGTATTGGTATTGGGTATTGGTATTGGTATTGGTATTAGTATTGGTATTGGTATTGGGTATTGGTATTGGTATTGGTATTGGGTATTGGTATTGGTATTGGTATTAGTATTGGTATTGGTATTGGGTATTGGTATTGGGTATTGGTATATTTAAAATGTTGCTAATTAACAAAATCGGTATTGATTTTTGACCCTATTTTGAGCCTATTTTAATCCTATTTTTGACCCTATTTTTGAGCCTATTTTTGAGCCTATTTTGAGCCTATTTTGACCCTTTTTTTTGACCCTATTTTTGACCACACTTTGTATATAAGTCTAATACCCAATCACTTATCAATATCAATTGCTAAACTTTGCGCTTACTTGTAGAATTTTTGTATGCAAGCCTTGTCCCATTTCCATTCCACCGTGTGAGATCAAAACGGTTCCATCGGTGTAAATCAAGACAAGAGCTGAGGCCTGAATGAGAGAATCGTTTAACAGAAGCAAGAAGACAAGTTTATGATTGTTTTAACGTTTTAGAAAGATTTGAGAAGATTTGAGAAGATTTGTGAGGAATTTAAGCCACACCTGATTCATGAACTTCAACCCGAAACCGATTCCGAATTTCGTCGGCATCATGTAGAGGCCACGTTTCCGGAAATGATTCTTCCTGTAAGCATTGTGTGTTTCTCTTCATTTCCTTCCGAATTTACCTATTGAATTCCTGGACTTTTCCCTTTTTCTCTAAATATTGACTAATCTCTTTGCATTCATGCCATGTTCGACGAATATTGCACTTCCGTAAATGCATCCCAAACGGTGTCATATCACCTTCGTTATACAAGTTTTTCTCTCTCAACTGAAAAAAAGATATTTGAGAATATTGTGTTTTGTTTTGTCTCTTGATTCTCTTACATGCGTAAATCCTGTAATTGGATCCCCCCACCCTCTAATATTTAGGTTGTCCAATAAGTAATGCGTGTTACTTATTTCGATGTTACTCATCGAAACCAGCTTCATTCTATTATGACGGACTTCACTCTTTGCTCGGACGATGGAGAAATGTTGTTGATTGTTGTGGAGAATATATCGATTAATAAATAAGTTCTCTTTTGTTAATTTTGTGATATTTTGAAAATCGTGTCAAAACACGCATTACTTATTGGACAACCTAATATTACAGTATTTACGGTATCTATCTAAATTTGAATTTGTAAAATGTAATAGTACCCCACCCTCCCTCGTACCGTCGCGTAGTCGCAAAAGTTTTTTAGTATTTCATTTTTTGCAAAGCACCCGTACTTTCAAAAAATGCGTCTTTGGTATCAAAAAATAGCTGAAATTCAGGGCTATTCTTTGATACCTAAGCGCGCATTGTAGCGTAAACCAGTTCTCGTTCAAACGCGTTCAAAGCTAGACTACACAACACTCCGCACCGTCATTGTGGGGGCGGGGTACTATTACAGTATTTACGGTATCTATCTAAATTTGAATTTGTAATTAAATTTTAAAAGAGTTTAACCGAAATAAATGATATTTTTATTGACAACATTCCCTTTCAATCAATGCACTTTTGCCAGCAGAAGACTATTTTTTCGATTCCAGTCAAAAAAATAATAGAGCCTCGTTTTCCCATGTTTCGTTTTGCTGTTAAATTTTCAAGTGGCTAAAACCAATAAAAAACTAAAGAAAAAGTTTGCTTTTTGAACAAATTATTTGAATGTATCCTGATTTGGTAACTCGAATAGTGGTGTAAAATAGTAACCCACCCTCTAATAGTGCCCCACCCTAATAGTACCCCACCCTAGAGGGGGGAGGGAAAAAATAGTACCCCATGGGGTCCAATTACAGTATTTACGGTAGGATTGTGATCAAAATAAATTCTATTTTATCATGTTGATGATTCCTAGACGAGCAAATCTTATTCCAACCTCATCCACATCCAAATCATAGGTCTCCGCCAATTGTTTCATCAGTGTCTCCGTGCAAAAACATTCCCTAATTTGAAATATTGTTTGAAAAACGAGAATTTGGAAACCTGTGGGCCTCCAAATCCTCGAAAGCTGTATTCGATGCGGTGTTCGTTCGACAGATTCGCCCGTAAATGTGAGCGTTTTTGAATTTGTACACATTGTCGATGTGCACCATGGCTCGAGCTGGAAATGGGAATTGGATAAAAGCTATATAAAAGCTACAACTATTGCCAGTTGTTTTTCAGAACAGATTTTTGTAGGACCAGGCAAGTCGAAATCCAGATATTGCCTTGGTTCTGGTCTGAAACAAGACCAGGATCCGGATCTGGCTTCTGACCTTATCAGATCTGGGCTTTGGTCTTTTGATCAAAGCTGACTGACTTAGTCTGACTTAACTCTCTTTCTACTCTTTCTTTCTTTCCTCTTTCTTTTTTTTTCTCTTCCCCCCTTGTATTTCCTTTTCCTTCTCTGGCAAAAGATATCGGATAACTCAGTGGTTAGGAAAGCAAAACGATCTGCCAGGCCGGGTTCAATCCCCTCTCGGAAAATCTTTCTTCACCTTTTCTTTTCTTTCTTTCCTTACTTTCCTTCCTTTATTAACTGCAAGTCGTACTCGAGCTCTGGCCTTACCAGGCCTGGATCTGGCTTTAAAACATTCTCAGCTATATCTAAAATTCCTTACTCAATACACCGGTACTCAAATCAAGTGAATGTCCTCCATTTGCATAAGCTGTTACATCGTAGTCGATGAGGTGATTGTCTTCGGAGAGAGCTACCTGAAAACAAGGTGATAAGAATAGGAGAATGATGATCAAGCTTTAACTTTTGATCTTTATAATGTTTAATCCAACTTTTGAACTTAAGTATCTATGAAATCAGTCAGAAAGTTCAAGAGCTGAAGATTTTGGAAAAGGATTGACCATAGACTCTTTACAATAGGGCTCTAGGCCATTTAAAGCATTCATAGAAATCGATTTTCCAGTACCTTATAGTTGAAATTGAATGGATGTCTTGTTCCTGTGATCGCCATATCATCGAAACGCTCCAAGTAGAGACGAACCGGCTTTTTCAGTCTGAGAAAAAAATGGATTTCATATGTAAATTTCTTCTTACTTCATAGCCGCCAATGCACACGGTACAGCGATTAATGGACTCGCTGTTTCTTTGCCTGAAACATTGAAAGCTTTTGTTTGAGATCTTTTTGTATTTTGTATTTTGTAGTATTTTATAGTATTTTAGCATGAACAAACCTCCAAAACCACCCCCAATTCTCTTCACTTTGACGACGATTTTGTGACGCGGAATGCTCAAACATTTGCCGATTTCTGTCTGGAAATTAATGCATTTAGCTAAAGTACTTTTTTTTCTTTGTATACTTTGTGCTTACAACGTGTCACACACCGTTTCTAGTGCACTCAACTACACTCAAACGTTTGCTTCTAATAGCTTCAATGCTTTCGTGTCAAACACATCCAGCAAGTCCTTGAACTAACTTGGCTAACTTGGCTAATTCAAGGCTGGATGAAGACAAGGCTAAAAGTTAGATAATTTTGTTTCTTGCCTATAAACTGGATCAGTTTATAGGCAAGAATAGTCTAAAATGTTAGAATTAATCGAAATTTGATTCCAACACTCACTTGAACATCGTTTATTCCCTGTGTCGAGACGATCACCTCAAGCGCTCGATCCTAAAATTAAAAACAACTAGTACAACTTAGTACAACTAGTACTAAAGTTAAAAACAACTAGTACAACTTAGTGCAACTAGTACTAAAGTTAAAAACAACTAGTACAGCTAGTACTTGTTTAAAATGTTGCTAATTATAATTAAATAATCTGTTGAAAAGATTTTTCTAAACTATTATTCTGAAATCAAGTCATCAAATCAATCATATTATAAAAATCATCAAAAAATCCGAACCTCTTTCGGTATCACAATACAATTGTGCGTCTCAAAATAGAAATGTTCTTGTCCTCCCATTTTCACTTCTCCTTCGATCACTCGGGTGTATTTTGACCTAAACGATTTCTATGTGAATCGACCGAGTTTCATTTACCAATCATTCTTCTTCACCACATCATTTCCCTCATTGAGTTGTGAGTGTAATTGGAGTTCATCCAGTATCCAACTATCAGCTTTTCTAGCTTCCTGAGAAAAGCTTTATCAAAATAGATTTTAAGACATTTGATATGCGCCCCTTCCTCTTTGCCATTGGCAATTCAACTTTGAGCTCAAATTTCTTGCCATTCGGCTGTCTAATTTAAATAGTTTTTGTACCAATCGATAGAGAAAGACTTGGCGCATCTAATGATACCAAGAATATTTAAATTGAACAGTTTAACACGAAGATATTTGAGCTCAAAGTTAGATTGCTAATGGGAAAAGGGGCGGGTCCATCAAACCATCAAAATCTGCTCCAGTACAATAAAATTTCAAGCAGTTTTAGAAAATTCGACTCTTTTATTTTAAACTTAACTTTAAACACTCCGGAGAGTTCTATAATAGATTTGTTTCTACAAAAACTGTATTTGTGGTTTTGTCAGCTCCGAGCCAAACTGATATTTTAGTTACTATTTTTATTATTGAATAATTTGTGATTATTATTTGTCTATTCTTATGCAAATGTGTTCTCCCCTGTGCTTATCCCTTTCATCCTTGGATTGAGATCCTTGGGATTGCCTAGGAAGACAAGTGAGGCCTTGGGATTGCCTAGGAGGACAATTGAGACTCTCATTTGGGAGTCCCTCCTTCCCCCTTTCACTCATTTGTAATCTATTCGTCTTATCGTACTACTGTCAATAAAGATACATATCTTCCAGTACTGCATTACAGTATGCAACTGCAGTACAGGTCGGTCATTTCACAGGGACTCCCCTCTCTAATACGTTGGAGGAGTTGAGTTGGGTTGTCGGGGTGTTAGAGATGGCGGGATATCAAAAGGATCCACTCCCTTTAGCTTAACCCAAATTCTAGTCCATATCCGTTTATACCTAGAAACGAATAGTTTCTAGTTTCTGCAAAAACTTTTTGAGTACATTCACATTCAAATTCTATTCATTAATCGATATTCAAAATGATCTAATATCAAACTTTCTAATTACTCTAATTCTGAGAAATCTTTTCTCCAACCTCAATCGTGACAATCGGTTTCTCAGCCGTGCATTGTACAACAACAGCATTCGCTCCTCTTCTCGCCGTCTCGTGATCTCTCGCAACAATGATACCGATTGGTTGGCAATGATAGGAAACCTAAAAGAATATTCAATTACTGCTATTTTCAAATAAAATTCTTTTCTCTTACTCGATCTTTCGCGAAAATCGGCGTATCTGAGTGATGACCCATTCGTTCATTTGTCGGCAAATCAGAAGCATCAAAGAAAGCAATGACACCATCCATCTCTAGAGCCTAAAATCTTATGCTTCTTTTGACACGAGTTTCCTTTTTGGAGAGTCTATAAATCTCAAGCTTTACTTAAAAGAATTCTTTTATTAAACAGTTTTCTTGTCAACTGTAAACTATAACTTTTCAATGCCGTACTTTTGTCGGATCGACATTGTCAATTGTTCCACAAGCAATTGGTGCGAGGACAAGAGCTGAATGGAGACATCCTAAAGATTTGAATGAAGAAGATGAAGAAGATGAAGGAGATAAGGGAGATGAAGGAGATAAAGAAGATGAAGGAGATGAAGGAGATAAAGAAGATGAAGAAGATGAAGACTTGAGTACACCACTCAAAGACTTTATATAGTTTTACCAGCAATTTCGATATCCGTTGTATAGATGGCTTCTCCAGTTGTGTGTCTCTCTCCACTCACATGTTCGAGTGGTCTTCCCACTGGATCGTGAATCGGTTGATCTTTTGAAACTTCCTAGAAAATTATTAGGACCTTTCAGCTAAAAGTTTTAACAATTTTGAACTGACTATCGTCAAATTTTCCGGCACAACTGAGTCAATTTCCGCTTGTTTTTTCCGTTACTAGGCCAAAACTTTTGAGATCAATTTTGCCTTAAAATTTGGCTATATTTTTGAAACAAATTCTATACAATTTCAATACTTACATAAATACAAATTACAAGCTACAAATTACAAGATACAAGATTCTCTAAATTCTGAAAAAGAAAAACATTTCAAATGATAGCAAATTTGAAGTTTTACAGTCGAAGAAACTTCTGGCAGGAGTACGGGCAATTAGAGTGCTCAAACAGTGAATCTCAAACAATTAGAATGCTCAAACAGTGAATCTCAAACAATTAAAGTGCTCAAATACTGAATCTTTTTCTAAACAAACTTCATTATTTAATGATAATTTTTACCTGATACAATTGTGTGGCGTTTAATGTATGCGGAATCGTGTCTCCGATCTCGGTTTTCTCCACACAGTGATCGATAGAGATCTGAATGGATTTCTGAAGGCTTTGTTCACAATCTCGAACACAAAGCACACAATACCTGAAGATTTTTCGCAACTTGAAGGAAAAATTTGAAGAAAAAGGATAAAGTGAGCGTTTGACGGAATCTGAAAAATCGATTGTGATTGGGGGGGAAATTCGAAATTTCCCACCTAGCCATTCCACCGGGTACATCGGGTTTAAGCGTGAACTCTTCCGAGATCAAATTCAATCCCAAATCCAATAAAGTTTTGTCCCATTTTCTAAAGTATTTTTGGATTATTCTATCTATAATATATTTATAATAAATCTATAATATATCTCTAATATATCTACCGTAAATACTGTAACAGCCCCCACCGCCCTCGTACAGTCGCGTAGTCGCAAAAGTTTTTTCGTATTTCATTTTTTCAAAGCGCCCGTACTTTCAAAAAATGCGTCTTTGGTATCAAAAAAATAGCTGAAATTCAGGGCTATTTTTTGATACCAAAACGAACATTGTAGCATAAACCAGTGTCGAGAAAAACTCGTTCAAAGCTAGACTACACAACACGCCGCACCGTCATTATGGGGGTGGGGTACTATTATAGTATTTACGGTATAATATATCTATAATAAATCTATAATAAATCTATAATACATATAAAATTCTCTAAAAACCAACTTTCCAGCGAGTTTCTCAGCCGTTTTCAAAGCCAAACGCGTGAAAATGTCCATTCCACCGTAGGAAATCGAGAGATTGTCGACGAGTTGCGTTTTTGGATTCATTTGGGCTCTGGAAAAGTTTAAATTTGAAGAAACTGAACGATTTGAATCATCAAATAAATAAATTTCTATTTAAAAACAATAACCTAAACGCTCCGGTCACAATCGCGATGTCATCCTCGCGTCGTTGCGCCAATTTGTAGGCGTAGAAATGCTCGTTCTAAATAGAAATACGTCACTTTTGACTAACCCGTTTCCCAGAATTCTTTGAAATAGTAATTCTTGCCCTTTTCTCCTATAGCCTGAGCTTAAACTATGAGAGAAGCGCGAGAGAATATTAGCGACCATTCATTCGCATTGAATGAATAATACTTAAAAATGGTTTTTAGTTGTTTTAAGGAAAACAAAAAAGATTTGACGGTAAGCCGATTCGAACCGGCCTCATTAAGGGCCGCACGCGGGCACACTATCCACTACACTACGTCGCTACGTTTGGCGGGAAGCAAGAAGGCCTATATAAACTTGGACAATGCGACCTAAACTTCTTTGCAAGATAACTCGTGATACAGAGCTCTGTTAGTGAAATTAAAATCAGATTTGAAATCAGCGTTTGAAACTCTATCAGATAAGCTAGATTTAAAAAGGTTGACTTAAGTTGGCGCTATTCCCTAGTCAAATCCAGGTTGATCCAGGTTTGACTTCTGGTTGGCCCAGAGACTTGTCGGTTTAAACTTGTTTACTTGTTTACTGTTTACTGAGCCTTGTGAACTCACTGTGAACTCACTTCACAGCCTTTCACAGCTCACAAAACTGTGAAAGGCTTTAAAGCCTTGTGAACTCACTTCATTCGAGAAAGGAACGATGACCGCTTTCACAATTTCATCCGGTCGAATCACCGTTTTGCGATAACCGATGAAGAATTTCTCGTCGATGGTCAGCGTTCGTTCGCCGCGTTCCTCAGAGTCAAGAACTACCTAAATTTATAATATTATTTCTTCTTAACTATTCGAAATTCGAAATATAAGTTATTAGGTTGAAAAGAAATTTCTCGGAAAAAGCTAATTTGACTGGAATTTCTTCAAAGCGAATCCACCAATTCAAGAACATTTTCTTCTATTATTTACTTCTATTTACAAGTCAACTCCAAGAAATTACTCGTGGAGCATGAGCATGAGCATGAGCAATACGCTTTCTAATCTATATTTTTGGCCAACTGAATGCGACCAATTGCCTATTCATTAACCCATTAAAAGATTGTCTAAAGGTTGATCACTCAAAAAGTGACCAAATCTTTTTCTACCAAAGCTAAAGAAATCTCTTTTTTTTACCTGAAGCCCATTCTGCTTTTTGTTAAAAACTTTTTGAAATAAGTTCATCAAAAAATTTGGGAAGAATTAATGGCTTCGTTTTTAAGAAATCACCGTCCAATCTTTCTCCAAGAACTTTCTTTCCAAACTAATATATAAAGCTTGATCTGTTGCTTGCTTTCGACCTTTGCTTTCGACGCCATCCATATCGGATTCAAATCGGAGATTGGTGAAGCGGTGGCGATATTGCCGGCCACACTCTGGAAAGAGAAAATGGATAAACTCAAGTCGAACTCAAGTCGAACTCAAGTCAAACTCAAGTCAAACTCAAGTCAAACTCAAGTCGAACTCAAGAGTCAAATTGAGACTGAAACCCAATGATCATTTCATTTCTATCAAAACCTTGCTAAATATCAAATCAAATCGATTCCGAAAGCACAAAGTACACCTTTCAGAATCGATTTGATATCTAGCTATACTCACCGCCACATTTCGCACATGTCTCCCAGCAAACCAATGCAACATCTCAAGCACTGCTTTGAAGACACGCGTTTTTGATTCTAAAGTTTCCTCTGTACATTAAAATTGATTTATCTTCTAAGATTCTATCAAAAACTTGCTAGATATCAAATCAAATCGATTCTGAAAGGTGTACTTTGTGCTCAAAGCTGTAAACAAACTTCTTCTGACGTACTGGCTCTCCTGTTTTTTCTATAGCGGAAAAATGAAAAATCGCGTAAGCCAGGGAGCACAAAGTACACTTTAAAGTTCAGTACCAGGTAAATCCTTTGAAAATTCATTCAACGCGTCCTCCATTTGACTCAGGAGAGTCCAGTTCCAAGATAGACTCCATCATCGGTGAGGTGATGCTCGTGCAGCTCGGGAACCTTAAAAAACCTAATTTAAGCTGATAGAAATATCTGATAGATATTTAGACCTTAATATTCTAATAGATTATATATAGAATTCTCAAAATCTTCTCCCTCAAACCTGTCTCGGATTGATGACCATCTCCAAATTGATGAAGCGAAATTTCAACTCAATAGCTAGCTCCGAGTTCCCCGAAATGACCCGTGCATGTGGATGCTTTCTAAAAAGTGTCAAAACTATTGTAATCTTGGCTCTAGTTTTTAGCAAATCTATCTACCGTATTTTCTCTAATAGTAGTGCACCCAAGCGAGCCGAGTTGGTGAGTATTTTACGGTTTCCAAGCTTTTGCAGAAGCTCCACACTCAAATCCCCGACTAGATCTCATCGTCAGCTACATTTTCCGACCCCACATCGATAGGTTCTGATAAGCGGTTCTCGAGATTTCGAGGAATTTAGGCAAAGCTTTTGGTGCACAACTATTAGAGAAAATACGGTAAGATCTATATCTTCAGTGAAGTCTCTCTATACCTATCAAATCTCCAGTGAAGTCTATCTATATCTACCAAATCTCCAGTGAAGTCTATCTATATCTATCAAATCTCCAGTGAAGTCTATCTATATCTACCAAATCTCCAGTGAAGTCTATCTATATCTACCAAATCTCCAGTGAAGTCTATCTATATCTATCAAATCAAAGTCTATCTATCAAATCTATCAATATCCCTTGTCTTATAGAAATAGCTTTTAAAAATAAAGTTACCTCTTTAACGCCAATAACATTGAATAATCGGTTGGTTGATACCATTTGTGACCGTTCGAATCGTGGAAAAATGATTGCTGGTGGAAGTTTTTTAACTGAATATCTTTAGGTGAAAATAATTTGCTTTTAAAAGCACCTTCAACTCGGGTGGGAAGATGAGTTCATGCGATGGATCGTATGGAACACATTTGGACATGTCGGAGAGCTTGATTAGCTGAATAGCGTTTGATTAGAGACGTTTTCTTTTTTCACGGATAGTTTAATAGAGTTTAATAGGTTAATTGATTTAAAAGATTTATTAGAATAAGAGATTTTAATGGATTTAATAGATTTAATTTAATAGACTTCATAGAATAGAGCTAATTTCAGCGTAGTTTTCTTAGGTAAACTTGGGGCCATTTCAAAGCTCAAAAAGTCCCAAATGTAATGAAGAATGGATATAGAATTCTAGAAAATGAAAAAAGCCAAATTTTTGATATAAACTAACCGTTTTCCTTTCACCTCCACAACCATCTCCACCATTCTTGCAACACTTCTCACCCATCGGACAACCGTTTTCAGTCACCTAAATTATTGGGTTGGTGAATTGAAAACTGGGAGACTTTGAACTAAAATTTATTCAACATAAAACCATGAATTCATTCCAAAATAATTTCCATTATTATTGACGACTTGTGCCCATTTTACAGGCAATTTGCGGATTCCTCTTTCGTAGTAGGATTTTGGTTTGTGTGTGAGACAAGTGTGAGACTCAAAAATGGAGGACTGGAGATGTCAGCTGTCAGCCCAGTTTGAGCACTTTCTTCAAAAGAAACCCATTTTGGTGTCAATAGAAAAGTTGTAGAGAATCAAAAATGAGGCTTATAGCCAAATTTCCAAAAAGATACACTTAGTAGTTTCGCTTAAAATGCAAGTTTTGTGAAAATTCCTAAAATTTGGCATTTCTTGAAAACCAGTTTTTGGATCGTTCTGAAAATTTGGCTATAAGCCTCATTTTTGATTCTCTACAACTTTTCTATTGACACCAAAATGGGTTTCTTTTGAAGAAAGTGCTCAAACTGTCACATATGACAATAGCCCGCAGTTTTCAATTCATCAACCCAATATTAAGCTTTTCGCTTTTCGTTTCTTTTTATACTTTCATTTAAAACTAACAAATGCATCAATTGAACTACGGTTTATTTCATTAGAAAGGCCAATTATCCAATTATTTTTCTCCAAAATAACATTAAAACGGTTTTCAAATGTCTTAAGTCTGGGTTTTTCTTTGAGAGCATTAAGAGCAGAAGTCGAGTAGTCAAAAAGTCGACTCGATGATACGGTTTCACCATTTTGACATAAAGGAAACCTATCTTTAATATAATGTCAATAGACAAAAGATAGAGCATAAAGAGTTTAGTATATAGCTAAATTTTCATCGAAATTCATTCAGCCAATATCTTCGTAGAGGTTTTTAAAGAATTTTTTTACGAAAACCACGGTTTTCACTATTGAATTTGTGATTTAAGTGGACTAAATTTGACTTAAAAAGATCGAAATTGAAAAAATTGAACAAAAAGGAGCTTTTCTTAAGAGAAAATTATAGATTAATTGTGGCAAATTTGTTATTTTTGAACAAAATTATGAAAAGAAGCGAAAAGACTTTTTGAAAAGCTTAATCGATCAATTTTTAAGAACTTGATCAACAATTTTGAGTGCAAGTGCTATGAGAATTAAAAAAAACTATAGTATTACATGCTAATTTGTTTTTGGAAATCATTTTAGAAGTCATCTTTGTGGGGTTTTTTTTGCATTTTTCTTGATTTAAACCTTGATCTCTCCTTTCTCATCCTTCGCAAAGCTATAGAAAGCCTCTAGAATCGGACGATAACCGGTGCAACGACAGAGATTTCCTGAAAGAGGCAAATGTTTTCAGAAAATCTTTATAGTTTATAGATTATGGATTTATAGCTTATAGATCTCTAGCTTATAGATTTATAGCTTATAGATCTCTAGCTTATAGATCTCTAGCTTATAGATCTCTAGCTTATAGATCTCTAGCTTATGGATCTCTAGTTTCTAGATTCCCTATTCCCTAGAGCTACCCTGAATTGCTATATCGACATCGTCTTTCGTCGGCTGGGGTTTATTTCTCAATAGAGTGTACATGGCCATGATGAACCCGGGCGTACAGTAGCCACACTGAGAGCCATGAGCTCTAAATGAGTTTTAAATTGATTTAAAATAAGAATATGATCTTCGTCTATATATTGAAATGTTTTACTTCGTGAGTCTCTCCTGTACGGGATGAACTCTTTCCTCAACTCCGCGAATCCCCTCAACTGTTGTCACCGCTTTGCCGAAAACGCCGCAAACGGGCATTAGGCAGGAATTCGCCGAGAAATGTCTGTAAAAGTATCGTAATCCGTTTCCTAAAAAGTGTTATCTTTTAAAAACTATCGAAATTCTACGAGTTTTAAGCATTTGTTGTTCAAAAAAAATGGATTGATTGGCTAAAAAATAAGCAAAGTTAGCTTTAAAAGCTTTAAAAGCTTTAAATGTTTTAAATGTTTTAAATGTTTTAAAAAGCTTTAAAGTTGACACTTTTTAGAAAACGATAAAGAACACAGCCTAATTCTAAGATGTGTGATTAGAAAGAACCGTATTTGTTGGGAGATTGGATCGATCTCTGATATCATGACTGTACACGCTCCACATCCACCTTCATTACATCCGATCTTCGTTCCCGTTAGTTTCACTAAAATGCTCGAATGTTAATAGAATAATACTGCATGCAGGGATGGTTAAAATCAAAATTTCAGGCTCAATACCAGAAGCCTAGATTTTCGATTTTTGAACAGAAAGCTGGTCCTTTTAGGCCAGCGGCCGGTGCTGGGACCCGAACCTTCGACCTTTCACTTCCTAGGCGAACACTCTACCAATAAGCTACACGACCACCTGTCCGTTGCCGTTAAAGTAGGCCCTTATGCCTTACCATTGCTTAAATGCTTGAGATAACTTTTCGAATTGCTTGACTTGGCCATTTGCGACTTGTCGTATTCTGGCCTTGCCCAGCTTTGACCAAATCTTTCTTACTAGCTTTGAAGCCATTCGAAAATGCTTAACTAGATGGTATTTTTGCTCATAATAGATTTTCAGCCTTCAAAGCACACGAATTTATCGACTTACAGTGATCCCTTAAATAGTTGGCGAGCGTTGTCCTCGGATCGATCGATTCGTCGACAATCCTTTGCCCATTCACATAGAATATCAACGTTTGTCGATCGTATGCATCGAATTGATCCACTTCCGAAAGTCGTTTCTCTCTTTGACCATTCGGACTATCGTGACCTAGATAATTGGTTTTAAATAGAATTTAATTTGACTAAATTCAAAGCTTAAATTTAAGGCAAAATGTACACGCATTCTCCATTCTCTTACAACAGAATTGTCATAAGGAAATTAAAGGCTTTGTTTACAAAAGGCTGTGTTTACAAAAGCCTTTGTTTACAGAGATGCATCAGAAAGGGTGCGTTTACAAATTTCAAACAAAATCGATAACTTGAGATCTTTTAAAATGAGAATAAGTTTACCTGAATCGCTTGAATTCGTCGAGTTTTGGTGTCGTTTGATTGGCGGTAGAAGTGGCATCTCTAAAAATAGACATTTTACAAAGTTACCTTTTAGAAAATTTAAAACTTCCATTTGAATGTTTATCTTTCAAAAACGAAAAAAAAACTTTAGAAAAAAATGAAATGCAGTTAGCAAATAAAGGTGAAAAACAGAAAAAACCGCTTTTTTTTCGCTATCATTTTCAATAGATTATTCAAATTTTCAGCATTAATCAAAAAAAAAAGAAACATACAAAGATCTATGACAGAAATTTTCGAAGAAAAAGTCTAAGGGGGTCGAGCAAGTTTTGCGAGCAAAGATAAACTGATAAAACTCTAAAGAAAAACGTCATTGTGGAAAGGTGAAGCTTAAAGGATTGAATTCTTTTTAATTCTTTTGAATTCTTTTGATAGAATTCTTCTCTTTCTTTTCTTTCCTTCAAATTCTTTCAAATTTCAAAAATCAGATTACAAAGTAAAGAAGAATTAAAAATAAAATGGAGTAGTAATTAGAAAAAAAAAAATGGGAATTTCTTTAGCTGATTCGTGAACGTGAATCCAACAGTCGAACTAAGCACTCCTTTGAGGTCAATTGATATTTTTTTATTCTTTATTCTTTATTCTTTATTCAGGACATGAAATAAAGTACGCAAGATTTAAGTTTAATACATATGAATTCGAAAAAAGCTCAATAAAAAGAAACACGACATGAAATATTTGAGATATTTGAGTGCAAGATTTGAGATTAATACACATGGATTCTCACGCATAAACACGAAAAAAGCCCGCTAAAAAGAAAGACGATATAATGTATGTAATATATGGATAGCACAGATAAAGTCAAGAATCTAGAGCTTCAAGCTCCATCTACAGAGAATTTAAACGTTTCTTGACTATTGGACTCTTTCAAAACTCTCAAATTCGAATTTCGGATTCGAAATTCTGGCAGTTCTTATTGGAAAAGAGTTATAAACAAACTTATTGAAGGTGAATGGAATTTCTAAAACTAAGAATTTCTAAAACGAAAGAACCTCTCCTTGAATTAACCGTGGGATTAACTTTGAATAAATCTCAAAAAAGAGGGATATTTTGCCTGCTCTTTACAATTTTGAAACTAAATTGAGAAAATTTGATGTGAAATTCGAATCCGACATCAATTTTTCAACATTTTCATCAAAGTAGAAATTCAAATTCGATTTTTCCTCAAAATTTTCTCTTCAATAAGCATCAAAAGTTTGTCTTTGTGCTTTCAAGAGGTGTTCTTTATGCTCAAAAAAAAAAAAAAATCGAAACCCATCCTTTCTAGTGCATTTTAATCTTTAATTTCTTACAGATTGAGGTTAAAATTAAGAATTCTAATGCACCAGAAAGTGTGCGTTTGCAATTTGTTAATAAAATTCAGTTAAAGTTTCTTAAGAAATGATGAAATCGAAATGAAATATTTGGAAGGAATAGACAGTGAATTTCCCAAGAAAAAAAGATTAAGAAACAGAAGGGAAAGAAATAAGCTGATAATGTCTTCTTGAAATTCTATCGATTCTGATTTTTCATATCTTATCAAGAAGAAAAACGAGAAAAGGAGACAATTATGAGATTATGAAGAAAAAGGAGACTGATCGGGGAAAGGGAAAGGCAAAGGAACACGTGACCTTTTATGAGCAAAAGGGGAAACTGTTCATGTAAGTAAATAAACAAGTTAAGGAAAAATATTTTTGTCATATCATAATGAGAGTTACTGAAAACTGGATAGTGATCAAATTGATTTCGAACTGATTTCACTTACATTTCCAATTGATTTCACTGACAATTTGTGAGCGAGTACCTTAATGTGTTTTCTAAAAGATCTCATACTTAACTCCCTCTGGAGCCAGGGAGATCAGCTGCGTTGTGGTGTAATGGTGAGCACAGTTGGCTTGTAAGCGGAAGTCCGCTGGTTCGAGTCCCGGTAGTGCACAAGCTTTTGGTCTACCCTAGTTTTCTAGTTCTGCCACCTTTCAATCCTTTTTTCTACGCGCTGGTTAAAGATAAAAGTATGTGTGATAACTCAAAAAAATCACCCATCCTCTCTACTTTAATTTGATACCAAAGCGAGCCGAAATAAAAGTACTGGTGTCGAGATATGAGCGGTTTTTTTGAGTGTAAGTGGCAAAAAGAGCCGATTTTTCATCATTTTTCAATCATTTTGTTCTAAACTCTGGTTAATGCTAAGAATATGTGTTATATCTCAAAAAATCACCCATCCTCTCTACTTTAATTTGATACTAAAGCGCGCGGAAATAAACGTACCGGTGTCGAGATAGGAGCGGTTCTTTAAGCGTCTCCAGAACCTGAAAGTAAGACATCACTTACAAGCCATTTGATGGTGTTTATTCAATTTGAAACATTCATTTTATGTTTTTCAATTTCCGTCGCAAGCTTACAATGGATTCCTTCAATTTCTTCGATAAAGAATAGATGTAAACCTAGAACAAATAGCTTGGAAATCTGTTCACCCTATTAACTTTTTTTTGAGTAGACAGATTTTAATAAAATTTTCAATTTTTCTTAGTTGGATAGCATAGAAAAATTGGTATTGATCAGATTTTTAATTCTTAAAAAAAATCGATTTTAAACCCGTTGTGGTGGCTAATAATAGAATCTATTATTTACGGTAGGTAATTATCCTTTCTTTTACCCTTTCTATCGTAATCTTTCCCTCCCAACCTTTGTCAATTCCACAACATTCAAGATTTCATTTGCAAGAACTCATTTAAACTTTATCGACTTTTAAATGTCTGCGAAATCTTTTCCATAAACACCCAATTTATCCTTGTAGTTTCAGTTTGCCCTTTTTCTCCTCGTAAACAAGCAAAAAAGTATTGGCAAAGACGTTCATGATCACAAATCACAAATGAATCATTTTAGAGATGTCTGTGAGATCTTTTTAGAGATCATTTTAGTGATCATTTGAGGATAGAATGAGATTTCAGGTCTAGAGTTGGAAAGAGATGAATGGAATGCACCAGAAAAGAGACAGAGCACAAAGCACAGTTGCAGGGTTGCCCCAAAAGCGATTTTATTGGATCGAGCAAAGTTTCAGCTAGAAGCCAAAAGCTGGCTACTCATCAAAATCCAGGTCTAGCCTTGATCAGCCTTGCAGATCAAAAAATCAATCTGAATAGTAAGCATTTGTTTCGCTATTGTTTTGATGCATGTTAAGATCCTTTTGCAATACCAAAATTTGAGCTTTCAGTTTCAAATTTCATTCTCGATGTCAAAACGTTTCATTACAAGCACTTTTACAAGTACTTTGAAGCTTTCTTTTGGAAAAATTTACAAAACTGGGCTTGATCAAGACCTTAACAATAGAAATAGAACAATAGAAACAACAGAAAGCTTCAAAGTACTTGTAAAACTTTGTACTTTGAACAAGTACTTTGAAGCTTTCTGTTGTTTCTATTGTTCTATTTCTATTGTTAAGATCTTGATCAAGCCCAGTTTTGTAAATTTTTCCAAAAGAAAGCTTCAAAGTACTTGTAAAAGTGCTTGTAATGAAACGTTTTGACATCGAGAATGAAATTTGAAACTGAAAGCTCAAATTTTGATATTGCAAAAGGCTCTTTACTCTAGTAAAACTAATAAACACGAACTTTGAAAAATCCAGTCGTTCAGTCTATCGTTTAACGGCTTTTGTATCTCAAAATACAGTTCAAATCAATGACAAAATATTTTGAAGTTTTTAAACAACGTTTATTGTATTTTAGGCATTTTACCAAACAAAGTGTTCAAGAAATTTACACAAAATATTTATAAATGAGTTTTAAATAATTTAAAATAAAGTGTTATTAGATCTTAATCAATCATTGGAAAGCTCAAAAGTTTGTCAAGCTCTTCTTCTCGCATTCCTGAAATAATAAACTTAAAGACATTGAAATCTTGTGGAATTGACTCAAACGTAAAAGTGCTTTTAATGAAACGTTTTGACATTAAAAATGAAATTTGAAAGCTGAAAGCTCAAATTTTGGTATTGCAAAAGGCTCTTTACACTTTGTAAAAAAAAAACGATCACAAAACATTAACATCAAAAGCCGAAAATTCGGGATTAACGTTCTGTGTAAAAAAAAAGAGAATCGAATACCGTTTTCTTCTTTTATACATCTTTAAATGTAAACAACGAAAAGTGATTTTATTTTAGGTCATTTTAAATAGAATTAAAATTATCTGAAAGAAAAGAAAGACGAGAGAAAAAACCCACCAAATCTGAGCCCTCTCATAGCTGGCACGATCAAAGTTTTTGCGGGCTGTGTCCTCGTCGCCCTGCCAGCGATCGAAGTGGCCGACAGCGGTGTGCCATTTCTCGTGCATGAATGGACGAGCTCCGTGATTGTACCAGTTATAGCCATCAAAAGCCCAGTCCAATCCCTCGCTCACACCGCGACCCAAACCTTCCCAAAAACTCGGACGTGCGTCGCTGAAAGTAAGTGAAATCATTGTGACATATCTAATGGAACAAACCATTTCAGAGGAAATGCTAGAAGAAATGTGCTGAGAAAGAACACCAAAGATCTGTTTGACATTTTTAGCTTTAGTATAAGACTTCTCCATTAAAAAAAAAACTCTTAAATATTGAAAAAAACTTATTGTTAGGTAAGAAAATGATACTTGAAACTTGCAAATTCTTGGAAACCCGAATCTCGAAACATTTCTTTTGATTTTTCTCTAATTCGATCTTTCATTTCAAGTTTATTTGACAATTTCTCCGAAAACTTTTATCAAATCAACTAAAAACAGATTTCTTGCGAAATCAAAAAGCTGCTTTTCATTGAAAAAAGGCATTGAGAAAATTGTTTTTCAATTTGAAATCAATCAATTTTACCGTCAATCAATTTTTCTTATACCTTAACACTATAAGAAGAACATTGATGGTGGTGAGAGACGAAAGAATAGAGAACACTTCTCATAGGCATTTGTTTAGCATTTCTTTCTCCTAAGCTTCATTTTCCTTGTAGAAATCTTTTCATAAAACCTCGTAGATCTTTCACTGCACTTTTTGAGCCCTTCACCAGCTGGACATCGACCTTGAACTTCCTGTACTCAAAGAAAAGATTCAAAAATTTAAATCTACCATAGATTTTCTTAAAGCAAAACATTTTCCCCTTTCTTTTTCAATAATAAATTTTGTTGTTTTTCTGTGGTGAACTCTAGCTCAAAATCTAGCAATAGTTTTGAGTGGAAGTCCTAACAAGCAAGAATAAATAGTTTTGAAATATACGATGTCAGCGAGCAATGTCAAGAGCTAACTGGGAGACTCATTCAACTTGAGAATGCTGTGGCTGCTACACAAGCATCTACGTGATGTAACTGATAGAACTAAGGGCATTACAAATTTAAATATAAAAGTTTTGTGAAATTTTACAACTAACTGGTTAATATTTCTATTTGTTAAAAATGATTTGCAAGGTTTTAAATAAAATGAAAACTATCAAAACGGGAGCTGTGCTGTGTTGAGTGCCAAGTGGTATAGTTGAATAGTTCGGTCGATTGTAAGACTCAATTCACGTTCATCTGCACACAATTCCCAACAACAAGATCAATCAAATGTTTAAAGAAACTCGCTCACCTCAAGGTTCAATGATTCTCTGATGAGGAACTTTTTGTGTAAAGCAATAGCTGCTAATGAGCATCTGAATACTCAGTATTACTCAAATACTAAAAAGAATTAACTTCAAAGATTCATAGAATAAAGGGACTTGCTTACTTGCATGCCACAAGTTGTTCTTTACAGATTTCCTAGTTAAAACCTGTTAAAAACTCTCTAAATTTATTAAAACACTAATGTTTTTCTTTGTTTAAATGTTCATTTTGATCATTTTAAATTAAAATTTTAAAAAATTGTTTATTGAAAAAATGTCTAAAGTTTAGATGTAAGCTTTTATCTTTATCGTAGTTTTTGATATCTTCTCTCCTGTTTTTCGATCTCTCGCTTGTTTTCTGATGACTGAAAATATATTATTTTGTTTTATAGTTAAAGAATTAAACAATAAATTAGAGAATTAGTTAAAATATTCAAGAATGAACTAACATTTCCTGTATTTCCATTTCTCCACTCAGAATAAGAGTTGAGTCGATCAACTTCACTCGCTAGCTTTCCCTCAATTTCTTCGGCTTTCCCTGGCAACACCATCTCGAGATGTTCTCGCATTTTTTGAACACAATCCTAACATTTGAAAAGTTCGATTGTCAGTGAAGTCACTCGTAAATCACCTTGAACAACGGTCTCTCTTTTGTCTTTGAATTCCAGCATTTCAACATAAAGTTGTACCTAAAACATCTTCTTTCTCTCTCTTGAACTTTCCTTCAACTTACAGATCATCATGTACAAGCTCGGGCTTCTTATTTCGTTCTCCATTTCGAACTCGCATATAAATATCCTCAAGCGGAATTCCCGGATATGGACGATCGCCAAGGGTGAATAGTTCGTACAAAAGGATTCCGTACGACCAAACATCAGACTGCAAATTTACTTTAGTATTTGTTCTTTGATATCCGTAAATTGCAAATTTACTGCAAATTTACTGCAAATTTACTGCAAATTTACTTCAAAATCTTTTCCTTTATCCAAAATACTATAGTACTTTAGTATTTGTACTTTAGTATCCGTAAAATCTTCACATAAAACAATTGCACACCGCTTGTGTGTAATATCCGCTTTCAATCGATTCCGGACTCATCCACTGCAAAGGTAAAAGATCATTTTTATGCTTCTCGAAGTCTTTTCTAAAAATACCTTTTTATAATCAATAGTTTCTCCCAAACCGATAATAAGATTTGTTAGCACTTCTTGCCAATCCAAAATCAGCGATTCGACAAATGTTTTTCTCTGTGATTAAAATATTTCTCGCGGCCAGATCTCGATGAATGCACTGAAAGGAAAGGATACGCCTTTTCAAATGGTACTATGATACAGTTTTAGATGCTGATTCCGAATCTGGTTTCAGATTTTGGGATCAAGAGATATTTGGCTTAGATGAAAAGCCTTTTGAAGGTCTTGCTAAAACCTGTAAGCTAAATATCTAGCAATTCCGAGGTGTTCAACAGAATCTGAACCCAGATTCGGAATCAGCATCTAAAACTGAAACAAGTGGTCATAGCACCATTTGAAAAGGCCACACTGACTACCCATTCTTCCCTCCTGAGAATTAAAGTTGACTTTTTGCGAGGTGCAACGCTTGACAAAAAGGTCAAGGAGCAAAATATGAGGTGAAAGTCAAACAATTTTTGGCTTGCTTAGCTTGTCTCATTAAGTCTTCGTCGAAGCCTGTTGAGAAACCATCTCAAGCCAGACTTACCGGGATTTCACTCAAAAACTCCATTCCACTAGCGATTTGCATCGCAAACGATAAAAGATCGGATGTCGAGCATAGAAATGTCTGAAATATTAAAATCACATTCAATTTCGTTTCTCTTCAAAACTTTAGAAACCTGAACAATTGGTGTCTTCTCGTGTCCATCATGCTTTTCGTCTTGACTTTCAACTTGAGTCCACTAAACAATTCGAATTCAAGCTAAAAACTAAAACAAGATCATACCGGAATATAGCCGTCAGTAACTACATCCACAGACATTTTTCTAATCATTGACGTTTCATGTTTATTCATTAGCAATTCAACCTAAATAAAGAGTTTTTTAGCTTTTTAGCGATCATTTTCCTACTGTCTTTCCTCTATTTGTGCGATTCGGCTCCACGTATTCCCCGTTTTGAGCCTGAAATGTTAGTTTGACAAGAGACGGTCAACAGGATGAGGATGGCCAAATGACATGAGCCATTTACTAGTCGACGTCGAATTTTGCGCTGATTCCGAATCTGCTTTCCGTTTTTGCACCGCAGCACTCTGTCAAAGGTTATAAGCGTTGAAAGTTTTGTATGGACCTTACCAGACGAGAAAAGATTTTGTGGTGGCCGACTGGCAGTAGGTTTGAATACGAGGCGAGGATTCTAGGGTTCAATTCGGGGGTTTGACTTTTCTTTTTGGATCAAAATTGACTACCTAGAGCAAAAACGGAAAGCAGATTCGGAATGAGCGCAAAATTCAACGTCGGTTAGTATCTGGCTCATGTCATTTGGCCATCACACCCTGTTAACCGTCCCTTGTTAGTAAGAATTCAAATACTAACCTTTCTCAATTCATTACAAAATGTGTTGCGTGTGAGGTTTTTGAGAAATTTCTCGAGACTCCCATTGGCGCATAGCTCCGTGACAACACAGAGACGACCACTAGATTTACAAGGTGCGTTCAGAATCACTTATCAAGTTTCGTTCTGGTCAAGATATTAAGTACTTACCTAGTCAGATGATCGGTGACAGCTCCAATCAGAGTGAGCACATTCGGATGCGGTGGAATGAAGGACATCAACTTCAGCTCGTCGGCCAACATTTGAATGTTGATGATGTGTTGACGGATTGAGGCTGCGTGAAATGGTTCCTATAGTAATGTTTGAGAATCTTTTGTCAAGAAGTTCACCTTAACAGCGACCTTTAAAGTTTCGGAAGTGAAATTATTGATTTGATTCGGTTTCTTCAAAAATCCCATTGAAACTTTCCCGAACTGTCCACTTCCCAACTGTAAAAAGTCTAAAGATTCAGATAAACTTTTTACCGTTTTTCGATCAGAAATTTGAAGATCATCACATGAAATTTCAAATTTCGAACGATCGTAAACGATTTGATTGATTTGTTGATCGAGGGGAATCTGCTTGTTTCGATCTTGAGCTGGAATGGTTCCTCCGTTTATTAAATCATCGTACAACACTCGGAAAGCACTAAACAAAGAGGTTTTGAATACGATATCAATTTACTACAGACTTTTCTTGATTTCGAGCTCGAGCTTTCTGTCGTCTCCACAAAATAACAAAATTGAGCACACATGCGAGCAAGATGAGAAAGACGATGGAGAGAGCAACGAATGCAAGCATTAGACGTCTCCTTTTATCGTCTTTGACCTATTGTTAATGCTGACCTACATTTCCGTGGGTTATTGTTTGTTCGTGATTAGTTGCGACGATGAAATGGCAAAGTATGGGTTTGGCTATTATAAACTCTCTGACAAGGGAATGATCGGAACTGGGCGGACAATTTTGCTAGATCCAGTTGCGAGAATTTTATACTTTTGTTTGCTAAACCGTTAAAAGCAACTTTTATTTGTTTTAGAACTTTACACAAAATCAAATTTAAACGGAAAGATGACCAGAACTAGGTCAGCAGTTTTTGTTTATTTTCGGAGTTTTAGAGTATCATTTGTCCTTTAAAATTATTATTGGACATTCTATTAGGTTGGTGAGAAAATAATCAAAATTTGGAGCCTCTAACTTCAAGTCCAAAACTAAAAGTCAATCACAAATGAATTTATTCAAAGTAAAAACCATCAGCATCTATACACTGCTGCCAACGCGAAACAAGCTTTCCAATTCCATCAGGATAGAAATTTGGCGTTTTCGAGTCGATAAACTGCTGGAAAGCGTTTCCGGCCTCGCCTTGTTTCTTGAACTGTTTAGCTTCTAGAAAATGGCACAGATGCTT